TTTTTTTTTTTTTTTTTTTTTTTTTCGTATATGGAGGATACTTCTTGTTGTATGTCAGATACGTACCAGGGTGCGTTGACTGACGGACACATTTTGATAGAAATCTGCGGAGAATATGGATATTTGATTTACTTTCAGAACCCCATAGCTGGATTTTGTATCTTCATACTGGTCGGATAATTGCTTTGTAGAGAAGTACTATTGTGAAGGGACAATTTTGAATGGCGACTGATCAAAATTTCATCAGATTGGAGGGTTAATTTTGCGACTTTTTACTTTCACGCGCTTAAGGAACTTCTTAAGAAAGGTTATTGAATTGAATTGAATTTGCCTTATTTTACGCGGCGAGACTCGGGCCATCAGGCCCGCTCTTCCGTCTGACCACGCAAATTTCGCTACGCTCCTTTCATCACCTAGCAGATAAAGGAGGTATTTCTTGGGATTTTGAAAAGCTCAGAGGCGTCATTTAGGCTTGAGGGTCTTTTACATGCAAGTAAATCTACGAACATGGGACAGCCGGCTTTACTTCCCCTCCGAAGGAAGGCGTACGAAGGATTTTTTCGCCCTTAAAAATCCAAGGCTTCGATCCCGGTTTGAACCCGCGACCTTGGGCACAACAGTCCGGTACGCTAACCGCTACGCCATCGCCGCCGCCTACACCGCTACGTAATGATGCACAAAAAACAGCGAATTTTCAGCAGAAAAACTATTACAGGTCCCTGGTAACGATAAAGTGGTTAAATCCAGTTGCTAAATTTCCGTGGGGAGGGGGATTCCGTAATGCGTTATGTAGCCAGAGATTTGTGGAATCTTCATACCGAAAAATCGATTGACGGCAAAACTTCTGTCTGACCGTCAGTCTGTATGTCTGAACGCTAGCGGATAAACCGTTCAGCCCAATTTCTCCAAAATCGATATTCCCCGATTGATCTGGCTGATAACGCGGCTCCTTGAATTTGAAATTAATATTTTAATTTTGGGGACACTTTACATGACGTCTCTGAGACATTTTCAAAAAATTGGCGCCATCGGTTTTGATTAAATTTTGTTGGTGGATAGTCTCAAGAACGTTGAAGATAATGGCGCAGGTGCCATATTCGTTAATAACTCTGATTTTTCAAAAATGGAAAAAAATCATTATTTCCGGCATCTTCCTACAACCATAATATTAAAGATAGATTTTTTCCCATAGTAAAATCTGTTCCTTAAAGATAGATTTTGAAATGTCATGTACAAGTTTTGAGCAATTTGAATATATTTCGTTTGTTGTTTTGTGTAAAATATGGGTAATTTTTAAGTTTTGTTTATACAATTTTTTCTCAAAAATGGCTTCATGTTTGAATTTTGTTGGTGGATAGTCTGTAGGACTATAAAGAGAATGATGTAGGTCTCATGTTGGTTAAAAACTTTTTTTTTTTTTTTTTTTTTTTTGAAAATTGAATAAATTCAAAATTGTTTCGACATCTTTCTACAACTATAGTTATGAAGATTTTTTTCTTGGTGAAATGTATCCATCTTTAAAACATGGAATATCTTTAAAAATAGGTCAAGTTCAATTCTCCAAAAGCATGAGTAATTTTTGAGAAATTTTGGCAATTTCAATTTCAATTTTCATGCAATTTCAATCAAACATTGGCAATTTTAATTTTTTAAACCACTTTTTCTTAAACACTGCAGGTTTTTTTATTAAATAAGGAACTTAGCATATAGGACGCTTAACAGAATGGTGCAGGTCTCATGATCATTGAAATGCGTATTTTGCGAAAATGTAAAAAACGGCATCTTCCTACAACTACAATTGTGAAATTACAATTACTTTCCTTAATGAAATGTGTTCATAAAAGCAGATCTTTAAATAAGGTCATGTTGAATTTTTTGAAAGTATTAGTATTTTTGTACAATTTTGCGACAAATATAGTAGCTAGCTCGAATTGACTGACCATCGTTTTCGGTGTCTTCTTATGAGTACAATTGTAAAAATACATTTTTTTTCATGAAATGTGTTTATCAAAAACACATCTTCAAATAATGTTTTGAAAATATGTATTTTTGTGTAAATTGACGACAAAATTAAATGTCCACTGCAACTATATTGCACT